TCTTTTAAACATTAATGTCGGCATCCGACGCGAGAGGGGGCAGGGTTAAAACATGATGGCCAAACACCGCGACGCCCCGATGCACCTGCCCCAGACGCCCATCCCTCGAGAGCTCCCCGCCACTCGCGCCCCCAGCGCCCCAGATGCGAGTTCCCTCGAGAAGGCTAGGAAACGCGCCAGCGGCGAGGAGGAGCGGGTCGCGGGGAGGGGGGGGGCGCGCGTCCAATCGCGGGGCGCGAGACCGCGGAGCCAGAAGCAGGGCAAATCATCAACAACAGAAGCGGCCGTCCTCGAGAACGCTCATCAATCCGCTGAAATTTGGCACGGCAAGGACATTTCCAGAAACGATGGATATCCGCGTCAGGGGCCTGACGACAGCGGGGGCAGGTGAGCTCACACTCACCCCCACAAGCTTGGATACGAGACCTAGTCCAGACGGCCCCCGTGAGCACCGCTAGCAGCAGGCCCCACCTCTGGACCGACTTCCGACGCAACGGCGCAAGGTGCCGCCACGGGACCGTGAATTTGACGCCTGATGCAAGACCCCCCCCCATTGCTGCGGAACTCGGCGGCAGCAGACCACAAACGTGCTTCGATGTTATGGTCCACCTCCTTTTTGAAAGTCCCACGTCATATAAGCCTGGGAGCGAAGCTCACCGGGAATGTCGAAGACATCACCCCCAGGAGACACCCAAGACAACGGCCCATCGAACTTCCATCCCAGGGCCGTCATGGTGGCGACCGCAGCCGACACGGGTCCTTCAATATTTTGCCACCTGCGCTGGGGGCCCAGACTATCGATACGATCAACAGTGGACTTCCAACAGGCACGCATGCGAACAACTCCTCTTTCTGGCAAGGCAGCAACGATCTGAAACCAGGACTCCAGCAACTGGAAGACCGCGGTGAAAGCTGGATCCTTTTTCCGACCTTCCAAGGCCAGCAGGGTCGTGAGACAGCGCATTGCCGTGCCACGCGTTAAACTGCTAGCTAAGGCCCGTCGCCACTTCTGGAGGACCGAGGGCGCGACCCCAAACACCTTTCAGGTATAAGACGACTGCGGCAAAGCCCGCGCCCCGATCTTGCGAGGAGCCACAGCAGCTAGCTTATTAATCCGACAGGCTCTGCGGGTGGCCTGCCCAAGACGCTTGGAGTGATGGGGCTTGGCAACTGCAACGCCACTGCCCCTCTCGATGCCCTTGTCCGCCGCAACCGAGGCCACTTCGACCTTGATGCCCTTCGGTCTTCGGCCAGCTTCGATCGCACGCGCCACCGAGAGATCAGACGCCACAGTGGTCGACTTACTCGCAATCTTAAGCTGCTCCTACTCGCAGCCCGGAGCAAAAACAGCCCCAGCTTGTATTAACTCCCGACTTACATCTCGCTTCACCCTCTCGGCACGCTGAGTGACATCATCGATCCACGTGCGAAGGGAAACTAGAGCACTGCTAGCACACGAGCGTTCGCAAATTTCGAACATCTGGCAGTTCGAGAAATCGGGGGCCCTGCGAGCACCGGCAACGAGCCCCCCGCGAGGAATGCCGGGAGGAGCGAAAACCCCCTCATCCCGCAGAAGCCGAGGACCCATGTGGGGGACGCTGTCCAAGGCCAAAGAGCGCGGGGGGACATCGAGATCGATCGCATGATCGACCACGCGCCCCCGCCTTATCGCGCCGTGAAAAGCTTCAACGTCCACAACACTGAGGCACAACAGTACTCTGGCAAAACAGAAGCAAGAGCCGCCTCGTCAACATAACACCTGAGCAGAGCCTCTCGCACAGCGCTGT